ACCAAGTAAAAGCAAGTTTCCAAGTGTTTATACGTTTTCTCTTTCAGTTTGCGGGGAGCCTGCTATAAACCAGAAGACAGGAAAAATAAATCAGAATTAAATGTTGGATGAACACGACCCTGATAGGGAGACACGACGCCAGCCTGCAGCAGCCGCTCAGCACCCCACGGGGTGCGGGATGAGGCTCTGCCAGGCCCCTGCTCCATCCCACCCCATCCCATTCCATCCCAATCCCCTCCTATCCCATCCCCATCCCATCCCCACCTCATCCACCTCTGCAGAAGCAGTTGCATGGGTCCTCATTCCCCTTCCTCCCCCTTTCCCTTGGTTTAGCTTTTCACCCTTGTCCTTCACCCTTTGTGCTCCCCAGCTGCACCCAGCAGATATTGAACACATTTGATCACTGAATGTTATGTTTTATTACAAGTACTGCAACGGAACCACTCTGAATTAAGCTGAATGTTGGCAGTACTTATGTCATAGACGTTTCTACTTTTCTGTAGTACTTCATCTTTTACTTAATATTTTTGTTTTCATCCTTCACTCATGCTTTTATAAATCGCTGTATTTATCACACAGCCATGTGCGAACAGCCACGATTTCCACCAGAAACCAGGGCGCACCCCCAGCCTTTTATCTCTCAAAATACACCGGTGAGCCCCAGACCTAGATGCCAAACTCGGCACAGATTACAATCCCATAGCACTTTCAGAAATACACCTTTTCCTGCCAAAACCCCTGGCCCCACCATGGGATTAGCATCCTCCACTTGGGTACTCAATAAAAAGCAGCAATATTTAGCTCTTACCCACTGCTTTGCCATGGGAAGTGGAGCGCTCGCACTCTCCCAGCCCCCGGGAAGGGCTCAGGACCTTCTCGCTCTCCTCTGCCCCGTCCAAGAGGAGGTGTCCCAGGGCACAACTTGTCCCCTCTGGCTGCTGTGTGCTGGATCAAGCCGTGGCAAGTGGAGCAGAGCACAGGCTCAGGGTCTGGGATGAGGCACCAGCAAGGCCCAGGCAGCAGATGAGTGTCAGGGGGCACCCACAGCCCTTTTGGGTTGGGGGGAGGCGATGGCAGGAGCAGCCGCAGGCATTCGCACTGGTGCAGAGGAATGGAGGGGGTACACCTCATAACTCACCAGATAAGGAGGAAAAAGGGGGCACAAAGAACGTCCCGGGCTCAGAGCAGTCCCAGAGCAGAACCTGCCATAAGCAGGGGCAGAAGGGAATCCTGCACTGGCTCTGCATGAAGGCTGCCACCGCCTTCACTGATGTGATCAAGCAGATTTAAGCAACGTATTTTCTTTTAACCAACAGTCTTCTATGGAATGCTTAATGCGAAACTACTTCTTCCTTTTCATTAATTTGTAGTAGTCCCAGTCAGGGATGAGGGCCACTAAACCCTGCAAAGCCACCCAGAGGGTTCGGGTGGCCCTGGGGGTGCAGCCCCACAGCTGGCACAGCCCCGGCCCCTCACAGTGCCCTGGGGAGCTGCATTCACCCGTGAGTGGGTCAATGTCTCTGGGATGGGGGACACCAGCGGGGCACTGGCACTGGGAGCCATCCTGTTCCAACCTGTGGCACAGCCCTGCCAGCTCCCAGGGGGGACCAGGCTTCCCCAGGAGAGGGGCAGTGGATGCTGGGGCTCTCACCATACCCCAGGGCTGTGCGGCTGCCGGTGCCTGCCCGCTCTCATCCAGTGGTAAGGCCCGACCAGGCTCAGCTCAGGTTGTTTTACAGGCTTTTAGCACAATAAAATGGATTATACAGACTTTCACTGGGGGAGCCATAATGTGCCTCAGATCTGGATAATTGCACTCTCAAGCACTGGAAGAGGTGCTTGGGATCTCCCCTTCCATCTCTTTGCTGCGCCGGAGCGATGGCTGCACCATCCCATTCCCTGTCCTTGTGGCGACAGGGCACTGGGGCTCCATCCATCCCCGAGGGTCACCAGACCCTTCCCCACGGGCACAGGACCAGCTCCCTGCACTGCTGGGTCCTCCTGGTCGCAGGGCTTTCCCCAGCCCTGACAAACTCACACTCCAGGAGTTTTTAATGAGCAACCGCTGCTCTCTCAGCAGCTCACGGCCCCCGGCCCGTGACGCAGCCGCCCAGCAACGCAACCACCGCCTTGAACAGCACAACCGCCAGGAAATAAAATGGTGGCGGCTCTTCCTTGCCCCCCACTGTGCACCATCCCCAGTGGGAGGGGGGCTCCGTCGCCACTTCCAGTCTAGCAAATCGCTTAAATCTCATTTTCCTCTGCCTGTAACACAACGCTGCACTCCACGTGCGAGAGCCAAGAACAAAAACCACTTCGGGATGCCCGTGCTAGGCTCCCCCGGCACAGACAACCCCGGCCCCTAAATCTTCTCCGCTGTCAGTAATTACCCACCTGCCTGCATTTAAGGACTCGCTGAAGATTGGATGTAAAAAACCACACTAAAAGTGATTGACTGCGGCGCACATAGATCATTACGAGTCGTTAACAACGCAGTTAAACAATTAGCGAGGCCAGCCTGGGGAGCAGCGCTGATGCTTTGCGAGCGAGCAGGGCTCTGCCCTCAGCTGACCGCCAAGCCCATTGGCACGGGGCAGACGGTGGCCACACATCCCCACCCAAATGGCCAATTCTCCCAGCTTAACTCAACTTGGAGATGGACGAGATACTGGTCACACAGGAAGCATTTCTTCAAGAGAGTGGTCAAACACTGCAGCAGGCTTCCTGGAGAGGCAGTCGATGTCCCAAGCCTGCTGGTGTTTAAGAGGCATTTGGACAATGCCCTTAATAATTTGCTTTAACTTTTGGTCAGTCCTGAAGCGGTCAGGCGTTTGGACCAGATGACTCTTGTAGGTCTCTTCCAACTAAAATTCCTATCCTATCCTATCCTATCCTATCCTATCCTATCCTATCCTATCCTATCCTATCCCTATTCCACTTTATTCTATTTCTATTCTACTCTATCCCATCCCATAGGTCTGAGCGCCATCATCTTTATTTGCATCAGTTTTCACTTTAGAAATAAAACCACTCACTTCTCATAGAGCCTTTGGCCTTTATAAATAACAATGAGCCCCCCCTACCTCGGGCACCCATTGCAGGGGCGTGCTGAGACGCAGAGACCTGCTGCATGGCAAGGAGCTGCCTCCAGCCCCCACGCTTGGTGCCTGAGACCTTTTTCTGGGTCACCAACAGGAAACCTTTGGCAACTTGTGAAAAGCCCAAAACCCAAATCCCCACCAGCAGCTGCACTGCAGCCCCCGTGCTTCCTGACCCCAGCCTGGACCAGCAGCAGAGATGAGCAGAGATAGAGGGGACCACCAGCAAAACACAAGTCAGCAGCATCAGCAGCACTGTTACAGCAGATGCAGGCAGCCCGTCTACCCGTAATAGATTACCAAGACGTTAACTTTAAATAGCACGTTAAGAAGGTCCATGTAACATAGCACATAACGGAACAGAATGTGCTGGCTGATGTATGAACTCGTGTGAGAGGTGTTCTTCAGCCCAGCAATACCTGGTCATTCTGTAGGATCATCACTTCCAGAGCCAGCTTAACTCTTTGCCAGAGGACGGAATTAATTCAAAGTAAGTCCTATTTCCTGCAGAAAGCTCCTCAAGACAGGAGGGAAGACAGGCAGCGCTGTGCTCGCCCTTGTGGGCACAGCCTCACAGAATCACTCAGCTCCCCCAGCCTTCCCGTCCCTGCTCAGCCCCAGCACTCACCACCGACTCCCCAGCTGCTGAACTGCTTGCACCCATCGCAGAGGGCAAAATCCCTGCGTCGGTTTGGGTTTGACACCACTGTTCCCTGCCAGGGAACCAGGGAGCTCTGGTACCTGGAAGGTGTCCCTGCTGCTACTTCCATTGGCATCCACCAGCAGCTGGAGGCTCACCCTCCTCCTGCACCAGGAGCTGGGTTTCAGCCTCCCTGGGGCAATGCCAGGGGTTGAAACGGGCCACAAAGAAAATACAGGCTCCAGGCCAAGTACACACACATCACTGCAAGCCAAACCTTTTCACCATGATTTCTGGGAGGAGTACAGGCAGCACCTTACACGTGGGCCAGTGAACTAGTTAACTTGCTGTACTTTCACATCCTAATTTTAGTCACGCTTGTGAGGATGGCTTGTCACACTTTGGCTGCCCATGCAATGTTTCTGCTGGCATAGTTACACTGAGGAAAGGAGCAAAGTCATTGCACTCGCAGCACATGGGACACTGGTGACATCTCTTAGACACATTTATTTTTGTTGATATTGCTTATTCCATGCCAGTGACCACATTATGACAGAAAAGTTAAACACATTCTCCTAACTGGGGGGAAGGAGGGCAGCTGGTGCCTTGGGCCTTCACCAGAACAAGAGGTTGGGCATTTCCAGAACAGCCAAGCTCTGACATGGGGTGTACCCAGGGTAGGAAGGGACAGGATCCCCCAGTGGCCACAACGACAGCAGTCGCTCCTCAGCAGCGTGTTTGGCTTGGGAAGGAGAGGGGAAGATCGAGTGCTGTCATCTGTACAAAGCACAGCCGCATCCCCAGCCAGAGCGCAGGCTGCTGGCACCGCTGGTGCAGACACCAGAGACCAAAAACGCTCAGGGCAAGGCTGTTTTAAACAGCAACAGAGGAACATTTAGAGACACCAGACAATAAGGGTGCGCCCAGACAAAAAAAGCCTCTCCTGATAACAACCCAAGTGTAAATGTGTAACTCCCATGTAACAGAATAATTTGCTCTCAGCTATGAGGAGATAGTGGTGGTGTGGATCATCTTGTATTTCAAACATGGGAGCACCTGGGCTTGGTCTTTTGGTCTTGGTTCTTTAAATAACCGCCCCTGTTCTTTCTGTCATATTTGCATCTTATTAACCATCCTGCCGCACAAAACAAGGAGGACAAAGCATCACCCCGCTCCAGCACCGTACTCCCCGGCAGCGCGCTGGGTTTTCCTTCTCCATCGTTCGGGAGGACATCACGTAGTCTGCTGACTCACTCACTTTATTTGGGCATAGGAAAACTTTTATTTACAATGTTAATTAAAAAAATACTTGACAAAAAAGGCATACAGTATTTTATACTAAAAGAATAAAGATTTTTATTAAGCACTGTAAGTTGCATTCAATAGCCTTCAAATACACCACACCACAATCCATCTACAACCAACCAAACCCAACAGTAGTTCATTCTTGCACAATCCATGAGTTGGGGCAGAACTCCCTTCAACTTACATTAAGATACCTACTTAGCTCTTGCGGGCAGGGAATGGGGAATTACACCTCATTTCTGATCACTAATGTGTGATGAAGAGCATCAGGAGAATTATATGAAAACGAATATAAAGAAATGATTCTGATTTTGAAGTACATTAAGTTTGGAAACACTAACAAAAACATCAAAATGATACAGGTATATTTGCTTATACTAAATCCTTGATGGGAAAGTTCTCAAGAACAAGCCATTTGTTTCCTGCTACAGAAGGGGGGTACTTTTTTTTTTTTTGAAGATCAAAGCTTTTTTTTTTTGTTTTTCACAGAATTTCATATTTGCTAATATGAAGGCATAAAACAGCAACAGAGAACAATAATGCATACAGCAATGAGTACACCAGGGTAACGTTGATATTCAAAACGGCTAGATAATTTTTTTTTTTTAAGTTTTAGAATAAATGCAACAGAGGTCAATAATCACAAAATTTTAAGGTTAGAGCAAGATCAGTCAATGACTAAACATAGTTAACATCTTTTATAGGACTATTACTGATTATTAGCTTTTTGTTTTGCAAATGGGCACAGTACTTGTAAGAATGGAAGAAAGAGGACAATAACATGCATAATATTAACTACACACTTTAAAAATTATGAACCATGCAGAAGTTTAGCTCAAATAGTAGTACTAATGGTCTACGTCTGATTCAAAACCACATAGTTCATTGATCACGGATGCATGGTATTAGTCACAAAAAGTTTCAGAACACATTGTGTTTGTTTTGAAAGGTCATTTGCATCTTCCACGATTTCAAGTTTATCTCCATTTAACTTGCTTGTAAAGTATGTATGATGTATATTTAAAATCAGCAGAACTGCAATATTACTCTATAATTTTTAGTTTCGATAGTTTGCACATTTGAACACAAAAGAACCACGTCAACGGTGATGAAATTTAAGAAAGAAAAAACTGTGGTTGTGCCTTTTTCCCCCCATAATCATGAAATCAAAGCCTTAAAGAAAGCTTTATTGTGACACAGTAATGCAAAATCAAATATAATGGCATACATATGGTGCCAAGTACTAAAAATTATATTTTAAGCTATATATACTTAAAGACTGCCAAAATTTGTTTTCTTTATATTTCAAAAAACAAAACTACAAGCTTTTGTCATAACCAGTTTAAACTTTATGTATACTTCATTTTAAGTGCGGGAGTCAAATGCTCTTCATTCTCTTTCTTTTTTGTTTTATTGTAGCATTTTGACTACAACTGGTTAAAACTAAAAAAATGTGTTGTTTAAATCTCTGACATCAAAGAGGGATCCGAATTTCCAAAGTCCTCATTTTTCTCTTACGGAAAGGAAAAAATGTACGTAACTGTAGGCTCTCTTTCTTTCCAGATATTCCTAATCCTGACCCTTCCCAACATCCTTCACCCTCTATAAAAAATAAGTTTACTCTTCTTTTTTTAAGACAGTGGCCTCAAGAGTATCATCTTTATGGCAAACACTGTCTGCATTTAGTGCATTTAAGTGAGGATTTGTATTGCACATTTTAGAGTCATTACTCAAGGCACTTTCAGACTGATTGGAAGCCCTGATGTCTCCTGTATTCCCATTCATCTGGGAAGCTGGTTTTTCCTCAGTCACAACTCCATTCTCAGCCAGGGATCCATCTGAAGACACAAGTGAGGATTTAGACTCCTCTGATTTTGACTTAAGTTCTTTGGCTACTTCTTCTGCTGAAGCAGCGTAAGGAGGTTTGCCCTATTTTTTAAAAAAAGAAGAAAATTACTGAAGGACCACTGCTAGGTAATCACAACCTGCTACGACGACGTTATTAACAGGCAGCATGCAGTGCAGAAGGATCGCAAGCGGATACTGAATACGATGTACCGCTGAAATCAGAGGGGGCACACAAAATAAACAGCACAGCACAGAGGAGGGAGAGTTTCCAGTATTTCTGAGAGCCTCCTAGCCTTGCCTTCTGATGCCCCTGGGGTAAAATGCCCTTTCTAACATTGATGCTTCGGTTATTTCACAGTGTAAGAGCTACATAAACGTCTGGAAACACCAAAACTGAGAATCAATATACGGCTGAACTCTGCTTCTTGGTTCATATACATTGTAATTTAATGATATGATTACATGCTACTCAAATACAAGCCAAACCTTTATTTCAGGCAGTTTTTAAAGAAGTGCAGAAGTACCATGCAATTTTATCTCTACCAGCCTATATGCTTCTGAGACTAGGAAAGTGACTTCACAAGAAAAGCATAGAGCAGAGTCTTACAAGACCGAGTATTGCAATAAAAAAACAGATTTATGCAGCATTAGAACATATATTTAGTTTTTAAGTATCTGCAACAATGAATCTCAGCATTCCAGAAGCATAATAGGCTTTAAACACCAAAACAGCAGCAGTTGGTGGGGTTGCTAAGAAGCAACGTGCTGATCTGTCACACTGTTAACAAAGTCAAGTACTAAGAGACGGCAGCAGATATGGACACCTCATACAGCCCAGTAACAGCAAACCGTTGCATCAGGTCATCATCTGAACTGTTACACAGCGGAAACAGCACGGTTAGTACTGTTCTCAATTGCTGAAAGATTCTGCAGGTGAGTACAAACTCTTGTTCTCTAGCATCAGGATCACCAGCCCTGCTACTGAGAAAAATCACACCAAATTCTGCACTAACACTGCTTAGGTAGATGGCTGGCAGAGAGGACAATGAGTATTTATCACGTGTGGGTAAATGGACTTTACAGGCTTTAGTAAGTGTGAAGTTTTAGATTAAATACGTGGGTTTGTTTCTTTTCAGATTAAGAGTGAAAGGTCTCTTGTGAAAACACAGGTGTGTCTTTTCTGTTTGTTAAATACAAATGGCTGATTTCAGTCTGATTCTCCAACCCTTTTGCATTTCGCTTCAGGATCTGCCACAGCAGCAAATATCCTTCCACTACTACTAACTCTTTCTCATGAGGTTGGACCATGGTTCCACAAAAGAAACTGGGAAGGAGTAGGGGTGGGAACACTAATGGTTAATTTGTTTCACCTTTGTATCTCTCCCATTTTCCTAACTTTCCTTCTGCTCCCACAGCTGGTTGGAGCTGTGTAAACACAGCCTTCATATCAAAATACATCTTTTCCCCACATCTTATAGCAAAAGTTTGCTCATAACTGAGATGCAACACTAGCCTGTCATCCACCACTGGCCGTGCAGCTTACAGCTTCAACAGGTAGCCAAGAGCATTGTAAGAAACATTTCTATCGCTTAAAGTTGTGCTTGTCAGTATCAACTGGGCTGAAATCCACACCACAGCAGCCTGTAAACTACAGCGTGAGTTGAAGTCAGGCACACGGCTTTATTACCTGAATTGCTCCCTGGCTTTTATAACCTCTCCCATAGTACCTTCCGCCTCTTCCGAAAGTTCTTATCACTGGAGTGGAAATAACTCCTCTAGGACGCCTGTATGTTTAGAGGAAAAAGAAGAAAGAAAAATACGTATCAGCTTTGTTCAAAACTACTTTGAATTTATTTTGCTGGAAGATTTTTTTCCCTAGCTTTAGCGTCTAGTGACTAACATTTACATTTCTTTACAGATGTGGTATGACTAATTCAGAATTATAGGGTCCTACTACTTGCAAGCGTATGAAACCTAACAAGCCTTTTGTTTTCATAGCAGTAAAATGACTATTTCTATATTTCATTTCCAGAGAAGCTATAAAGGAGTACTTTCAAGCTTTGCAGAAACATTTTCAATGTGTCAAATTATCCTTACAGCATTTTAAAAACAGAGCTCAAAATACTTTCACCTTAAAAAAATACGCAATTTGAACCATTTAGAAGGCCATTTCTCCCATTTAGTAACACTTCGCATGTCTAAACACGCTAGACAGAAAAAAGAAAGGAAGGCGAAATATAAAATTGCTCCAGTTTTGATGGGAGAATATAAAATTATCTAAGAACCTGAGGGGAAGAAGGGAGGCTTCAGCCACAGCTGACACGCAGCAGTTTATCAAGTTTGGATGCTTTCAAACGGAGGCTTCCAACCAGGACACATCAGGTGGTGGCTTTTTGATTTGATTCAATAAAGATTAGATCAGATCAAAACAAACTTTCACTCAGCTAAATCTATTTTAATGCCGTCAATTGCAGAAACTCAACTTCCTTATCGTTATGTCAAGGACTTTCTCACCTAAAAATTCTTTTTTATTTTCTCTACTAGAAATAGGTGACTGCTCTACTTTTCCTCCAAATCCATTGCCTGATCCCAGGAGGTCCCAGCACGAAGACTGACCCCTCTAAAGCTGGCAGGTCCAGTTGCAATTGCCGTTTGCCATTCTGGCAACAAATGACAGCTGCAATTCAACTGTTTTATTTTCCATATACCTGACAATTCCCATATGCCAGCGACGTCCCCAGGAGCTGTACAAAAAAACTGCCTGAGCTTTTCCATAGCGCTCCTGCTTCCTCTGCTGCTGTGCCGCAAAAACTGCACTGGTACACTGCACTGATCAGAAACACGGATCTGTGCCATGCAAGTCTTGCAGATTCCCACACTGAGCGGCAGGAAATTAAATAATGGGATTAAAAAAAACCAGCAAAGAACAAAAAGAGGAAAGAGTTGATAGCAGAGTAACTCTCACTGCATCCTTTGCAATGATTTTAACAGAACTTACCTATCCTATTTGCTAATTTGTTTTTTTTTTACGAGGTGAAGATGTACCCTTCAGGGAGCCGAATTAAGGTTGTTCCTACTCAGAAAATCACACTGACTACACTGATGGACCGAAGCCAGTAAAAAGCAGCTGGTGTAATTTTACACAAGAACAACAACATCCAAGTTCAGTGTTGCACAGAGACACGAGACAGTGGTGTAAACAAGCCTGATATGATCCCCTCTGCTGAAACAAACACAAAATAAAACAGAAGTGTGCAGGACTAGGTGATAAACTGCAAACAATGTACTGCACAGTCTCCTAGTAGTGGTCTTTAGCATGAAACAGCAGCTGTGAACAAGGAGCCCAATTTGAAAATACCTGTCTTTACACACAACACTGATATTAGCATGTTTTCCTACCAGGTTTTATTCTTAGTATCAACTAAATGACAAACAGACAAGCTGCCTGCAGTAGTTTTCCCCTCTAATTCTAGAAACTCTAGATGTAAAAAATGTAGCATCAGTTATGATTTGATGGAGACGGGAAGATCTGGCATCGAGAGTTTTCCTGTCTTTTTGAGGTAACAACTTGCACCCAAACCTGATAGCCCTCAACAGAAAAAAAAAGCCAGATATTTGATCTCCCAGCTCAAAGGCTACTATTGGAGAATAGTACTGCTCCATTGTAAAGGTAATTACCGGGGCAGTAACACCCTTTCAGTGATTTGACCGCTTCCCAGATAAGGGAGGCTTCTCAATTTAGGACTTGCCAGAGTTAGTTGCTGGCTACTGATGTTTTGCATAAATTCATGCATTTGCTTCTTCAGAAAACGGAGGAACTGCTGCCGTGTGAAGAAGTCAATGGTGTGAACGTGAGCCAGGTCTGAGCCTGAAGGTGTCTCCAGATTGCCCCTCGGTGCCTTGGTCAGACCGTGGTCTAGGAGTTCGACACCACGCCTTCCCCGGACGTTGTCCACACACAGCGCTGCCGTCAGGGCATTGAACAGCAGAAAAGTAACAAGCTCCAAGTAAACCAGATTCTTCTGTTTGTGGATCCTCATGAAAAAAGAACTTATGACGACACACTAACCTCATTTAAATGGTGAGAAATGCTATTTCATCCACTGAAACTGAGGAGTAAGATTAAAATACACAAAGGAGCCCCGTGCCTCAGCACCCACACCTTAGCTTACTCCTTTGGTCTCCAGCTGCTGCCCTGAAGAGCACAGGCGTCCCATGGACCCCTGCACAGTGAGCTGACAGTTGTCTGAAGCCTCAAAACCACCACCAGATGCTTATGTTTTGGCAACTGAATCTCATTCCAGAGAATAAAATGTTCCTACCTAAATTTGCTCCCCTCAGAGTGTCAGCTCTGCTCTTACACCGATGCTGTCTGCTGCTGCTCAACTTTTTAATCTTTGTTTCTGCTCTTCTTCCTTCTCCCTGTCCCCACACCGGCAGCTCCTGCTTCTCTCCCTGCTCCCATTCTCCCAGGGCTTCAGATCCAACCGCTTCCTCACAGTCCAACAAGCCAGGCACTCCACGGCGCTGGCTGACTTTAGCACTATGGTCTATGGTGCACATTGGATTAATCGACAGAGAGGAACTCATGCAGTTCAGACTTATTCTTTCAGACTGCTGCTTCCTAGGTCAAGATGGCATAAATACACTTACTTTACTCCAGTCCTTTAATTTAGTTAAAGACAGACATAATATATATATTACATTACTTTGGGATTGTCTCCTGTAATAGATACAATTTTAATTAAGGATGGTAAGACAGTTCTGTAAGACACAGAACAATTACGCCTATGGAAAAAATACTATCTTAAAAGCAAAGAACTCTTTGTAACAAAGTATTTCTTTTTCAGAAATGCTGTGCACCCATAATTTCAGCTGCAGTGAAGTGGAAGAGCTGAAGAAATTAATATTCTTTTAAGCACATCTCCCATCATGACTGTAGCAGAGAACTATTAAACTAGAAATGTCCTCCAGGTGTTTTCTGCTTCACAGAAGAATTACATGATGAAGTTATTACAAATTTTATCATATTTCTTAATAAACGCTCTGCCACAACAAAGAAAATATCTGAGTGCTGTGATAGTTCTGACTGGGCATAATGTATTTATTGATTTCACTTAAAAGAAAGCCCCCAAGTCACTTCCTCATGCAAAACAATCCAGTGTGTGTGCGTGTATATATATATATATTTAGATATCTCTCTCCATATATACACACACACACCTCTGTTTATCAGATTCAGACTGTGAATTTTATTTGCACATAAAAATGCTTATACTCCCCTGAATAACTCTTTAAAACCATCTTAAAATGAATGTAAACGCTTTTCTTGAATACTCAGTGGGTATAATTTACTTAATCTGTCCTAAAATGCGCTGTATGAAATTTCTAGTGCCTCCGACTTTGCCGTTTTACTTTTTTCCCCACTCATTTAATTCTGTATGAAAAGTACGTCCCACAGGATTGCACTTACCCTCTTGCTGGTCCTCCCACAGAAACGACCTGCAGAGGAAATGGCCCTCTACCCCCTCGTCCACGTCTGCTTCCAGCCCAATGGCCGACTACAGTGCCGGCAATTTCAAGTTTCCCTCCCTGAGAAGGAATAGGTTGGACTCCTGCACATAAAAGCAAAACCAAACCTTGATCTTCACAATCATAACACTGAAGTTTGAATGAATGAATGAATGAATGAATGAATGAATGAATGAAAGACTGGTTTGCCCAGATTTTATCACATGTACAGTTCCCTCTTGATACTGGGAGATTATTTCTCATTTTGTGGTCTTTCAGAAGTATTGTGACCCCAAAAGTCTTTCTTTCCCCCCCTTTTTAAAAAATGGATATGAATTCTGAAAAGAAAGAAGATCTTCCATGAGTCCTTCAGTTTCAGTAATGAAAAACATACTTGAGATAAGCATTAAGAAACTGAAGCGAAATCTTACAAGCTATCTGGAGATGATTCTGTTCCTGCCTTCCTGATGAAGATGTAATGTTTGCAGGTTTAAAAGCACTTTTTAGCAAACATCAAATATCAGCACAAGACACACAGCTTATAATTGCTATAAGCAACTTACTAAGCAGAATTATCTCTACTAACATTAAGTTGTTATAAAAATATAGCATTTAAATTGATCTGAGTGTAAGAGGTAGGTTTATCCTTCCCGTACCAAGAAAGCAGCTAAAACTGCAGTGGTCTAAAATACCAATATATCTTCTATTCAAGTTGCTCCTATATTTATGCTTGTGTTTTGCCCTTCAAAATCAATACTGAGGCATAATATATATTTTGAGAAATCTAGCTAAGTGCAACTGAGCCAGATGTTACTGGTAAGAACATCAGCACTAAAAAGGGTTACAAAACACAGCATTTCACAGCCACAATTGGTCTTCAAAAGTTAACATGCTAGGACCTAAATACCTGATTAAATTCAAAAAGGTTCATACTTCCCTGTACAAGTTTTTCAGCTTCAAATGCACGTTGTTTATGGGGGCAAAGTTATTCACGCACAGAAGCATTAGAGGTATGTTTGCTTTTAGGATAAAAGCTCAGAGGCCAGAAAGACAGCTAAATATATGGAAACTTTTTACCCTAAACAGGGGATCCGAGTTAATGTGTCTGCATTGTCCCACCTCGTAAAGGAGATGAGCAACAGGCACACAGGCAGGTACATAAATCCCATGCCTGTGTCCATGCCGACACTGATGCCAGCGAAGAATGGGTTGGCAGTAACACCGAAGTCAGTCATTTCTATGTTAGGCTGTTTTGCAAAAAGCTCAACTGCCCCCGACTTTTAGAAAATAACTGTTAACACACTCAAGCAAAGTTCAGCCGATTACAGATTCCACCCTCGCACTTGGAAGCGCAGGAGACAGACGGTCTCGCTAGGTTTTACGGCTATCCTGTGTTTGGAGGAGGGTTTCTAGGCGTGAGAGGGGCTGGTGGCGAGGACCTGGGGGGAGCAGAGCAGAGAGCGGCCTGGGCAGGCGCTAGAGAGGGAGAGCCGAGACAGTTAGGGAGAAAGGGAGACTGGCAGTCAGTAGGAAAGCCTCAGACCAAACCGTAAAGTGAAGGAAGCCGTTGCCAGAAGCTCTAAGAAAAGGGTTTTGGGTATAATTACCGCCCTGAAACTTGCTAGTCCTGTTGCTGTCATTGCCAGAGAAGGCTCCGGAGTGTCCTGCCGCTGCCGCCACCCGGAAGGCCGGGTAAGCTCCTGTGCCTACTGTTTCCCCATAAGGGCCTCCGAAGCCATAGACTCCTGTTAGACCCAGGGTAAAGAAAGACAGGGGAAAAGCTGTGAGGGGGCCAGGCATCTGGGAAGGCCCCTAGCAGAGATGCTGCTGCCTCCTTCCATCCTTCCAGAGTCAGCAGGGGTGGCCGCAGGCTGGGCTCCTGTAGGCAATGCTGTGCAGGAGCAAGCCACCACCGCCGAGGATGCCCTCGCCAAAGATTTCCTGCTGCCCTAGCGGGTACGGGGTCTGTCACACAAAGGGCAGGGCTTTGACCCAGGTTTGGAACAGGCATCCCAACATCTAGAGCATAATGAGCACTGAGAGTCTTGCAACATTTTTTTGGCATGGAGCTCTGATGGCTACAGTTGTGGCACCCCAGGAATGTCTTACTCCCAATGTCCAGTATCAGTGCACCTATGGGCCTTGGCACCAGAGATTTTGAGACAGGGAATAATGCTAGAAACAGCCTGGAATGGTTGTATCAGTATTCATAGTCAAGGGTGCCAGTGGTTAAGTGACTGTAGCAAAATACAGAGGGGCAAGGAGGAGGAAAGGTTGTCTTCAACCCTGAGAATTAAACTGTGTCTATTAATTCAGACATTCTTAATATTTATAAATATAAACATTTTGAAGCAATGTACAGTGCAAATAAGAGCCTTTTCATCTCATCCAGTGTTGAGCCATTCTTCCATTTTTCCTTCCTCATACAATAGCAGTAAAAAATAAAAATGTATCTGGCACAGTTACTAAAAATTCTGAAGGAAATACACAGCAGTACAACACATTTGGTACTGCTAGGCTATGGCAAATAAAGGTAACAATAAAATACAGTCATTGGCACATGAAAGCACATGCCGACCACCTGCTTTTATGTATTTTTCCTATGAAATTGAATAGGCAAATAAATTGGTTCATAGTTTTGGGAATGTGAAAGACAAGGTAACGCTTCACACCAACATGTTTCACACCACTGTCCCATCACTTACCAGCAAAGCCTCTCCCCCTGCCCTGAGGTGGTGGGACTGGCCCAAAGTGTCGAGGATACATAGAAGCTGGATAGAAAGGCATGGCAGGTGGAGGTGGGAAAGGGAGAGGATGGTTCTGCCTGGAGAAATTTAATCCTTCTAGGATGCTCTGACGCATCTTTTCAACCTTGGCTGCCTGCTCAGCCTATGAATAAAGAGGAAGTCACAGAGAGATGTTAAAATTCTGATTTTGATTGCATAAAGCTACACTTACACCACAGATTCAAAGAAGAAAGCAAGATAATAGAACAGTAGATAACTACTGCAAACAAAATATGTAAAGCTAGCTAGAAAATGCCAATCATCTGTCTTGCATACCTGCCAATAGTTCAGTAGTATTCCAATTGTTCACAGGAAAATCTTTATATATTGGTAGAGAGATGGGAGTCTAAACACTGAGGCACTTTAGAAGTCAGTAACACAGAAACAACTAAAGTTAAAAAGGGTTTTCCAGAAAGGAACTGAGAAGCCTCCATCAACACAACAGAGTGTTCTCCTAAACGTTTAATGCAGCTCTTTAAACAGTGCAAAAACCCAAACTCTGTGTAAACAAGCTAAAACATGGCTGGAGGCTTACAAGCCTGAGAGGGACTACAGCCACCATCAATATGTAATTTATGATCAGTTTCTCTTGTTAGAAATAAGAGGTAAGCTGTTCTGTTAAGATTTCATACATCCCAAAGCATGAAAAAAATATTTTGGTCATAGAGAAAGCTGTTGATTTTTATCAGTTTCCTTTTTTCATAGTCAGGTAGTAACTTTGCATGATTTAGATACAGCAAAAAAGTAATTCATTTGTAGTTTTAAGATAGCTGTAAGAAATGTGAAAAGATTTTGAGCTTGAGGACCATAGGAATGACTTCACGGTCTGTAAAATAAGCTAGAAATCACAAATATCCTTCTGCTGTAAAACCACTGCAGTTTAGATCTTTGCAACTTTCGTGCTAGCATGACCCAAAAAGAGTACTTGAACAAATGAGCAGAGATAACTCTACCAAAATGCCACCTCAATCATCAAGAGACAGGAGACAAAATAGAGCTCAAAAATACCTATTAGCCATTCACAGCGTATTTCCCTTTTAAAAATAAAGTGACGACACATGAAACTGCTAAACCAACCACACCTCATGCTTTTGAAAATCTGGCACACTTGGTACCCTGTCACACTTCTAAAACTACACACCTGACCATCACAGAGGTCAATGAGCGGAACTTTCTCCCGGCTTGCTTTGATGAGCTTGGTCTGGAATAATTTTCCATCGAAATACATCCACGGACAGCAGTGCTCCCATGGAATTGGCTGTCCACAAGCATCGTTTGCAAAAAGCGCCATATCGACACCACTCATAAATAAAGCAGACAGCTGAATTCCTCGGGGATCGAGATTCTCAATCTGTTTAAAAAAAAAAAAAACAACAAATGGCAAATTTAGTAAGATAATAATGAAATGCAGTTCAAAGTTATTCCAACAGTTACATTGTTTTCAAAACTCTTGAAAACAGAGCCATTTTTAAAGGTCGCCCAGACTTCCCACACACAACTGTCAGTCTGACGAGAAGAACGCATCAGAATCTGTTGCCTGTATATGGCAAACCACAACACTCAGGAAGGCTGCTCTTCCCATCCATCCGCTCCAGAAGCGAGAGATGAAACCAAAAACCTCCATTTTCTCAACAACAAAGCACAGGAAATTACTTCTAATATTTCAATGTTTTAACCTGATTCACTATTAAGAAGTCAATAAAACGTTTTAAATAAAATACACATCTTTAATTTGTGGCATGTGGTGTCTAAACCATGTGAGATGCATACATTAGCTGCATTAAGGTCGTTGATAAATATGCAGTACAGCATTTTGGAACATGTTACATGATAAAGCATGATATAGGAAGGAAAAGCTTTAAAGATAATTATAGGAATTTAACAGTAGAAAATTTCCTTAAAGGATTTATTTTAAATGATCACGTGCTTCTGAGATATTTTGTAGAAAGTTTCAGGAATGAACTCAATGTTAGCATTCAGTTTTTCTTCCCACGTACCACATTTGCCTTCCAACTCCTTTATAATGGGTTTTCTATTAGCTCTACTCAAGATTTTGCTGTTAGAATGCATCTCTTATTAACGAAGTAATGTTTATGCATACAACAGCTCTGTTCAGAATGCACGACAGATAGGTAGAATTACATAGTGAATAATTGCTGGTGGCAGAAGCAAAAAGGAAGCAAATATGTTTTAAACTCTGGCATAAGAAAACATCACTACTATTATTCTCGAAAATACTTCTGAAAATATCAGCCCTTTCTTGGAAACATTTTCAAGACCTTGGTATTAAATTTTAAAATTAAACTACATTACCTTCCTTATATGCATAAGCAACCTTTAAGATCCAAAAGACTATCCAGATGGATTTGCAGATATGCAGCTGCGTGCAAACTCAGCTGCTCTTTCTGACTTCAACAAAAACAGAAGCAGCTGCTTCATATGAGGACAGTAACAACATGGCATGAAATATTGCATCTTTTAGTTAACTAGCACTTATTACAGAAACGATCCACACTGCTCTTCATGTATGATTTATAAATGAAACTCCAAGAACAGTTTCTTTTAAACAAAAATACTGTACACTGTTTATCACTTGCCTTGTCTCTGCCGTTCATTCTCTGTCGCAATGGAAAAAATATTTTCTCTGGGAATTCCTTTATTGGATATCTAAGACCAGCAAATTTCACAGTGAGGTTTCCTTCTCTTTGGACCAAATCTTAAGACAGAGGCAAGACTTTGGTAACCTTTGCAGATATCCTTGCCAAAATCTCTGCCCCTGGATGTTACTTGTTTATTTTGTTGTGTTTTGAAAACGGACATTGAAGACCAAGTGGCCGATACGCTGCTGCTGTCTGATGCATCCAGCCTGGCCTATAAAACTGACATTTGAATTTCCACCAATACCCACAGGTACAATTACCCAACTTCAGGAGAGCTTGGGGTAGATGTCTTGAACCCAGCTCTCATGGTTCTGATGAGACTTTAGAAGTCTGCTATACTGTGCCAAGTGCAACGTTTGTCACCTCAGATGACCGATGTACATTTCTTCTGAACTTACAGAAGAACTTATTGTCAGCTCATTCCTTTGACAGAGGTTGGCCACGTGCTGCCCTGAAGAGAACAAACTGCTTTTCATCCAACACAGATACCTGTCATCTCCTTTGGACCAGGATCTCTGGGATTCTGAAAGGCCCAGCAAGCACACAGGGCTTCTACCATCAACATCTAGTAAACACCTTGAATAGGAGTTCCAGCAACCACCTGAGTGAATCTCCTGAGGGACAGGATCTACATTTAGGCTGCTTTTAAGGGATTAGCCACAACGAGGAATACTCAAAAATGCTCTTTTCACGCATCTAATATGCTTATAAAATCATCAGCAATCCAGTCCTAAGTGCTGAAGCAAACAAGCAATCTTGCACGAACCCTCTGAGTGCACGTAGAGCTACTTTGATCCTGTGTTTCATCACATCCTTTTCAGCAATGAGGGAAAGGCCAAACAAATGTATTTCTATTGGATTTTATTCATTTATTATTTTTGCTGTTGGCATTCGCTCTTTGGTAGATGGGAAGAGGATTTTGTTTTCCTGTTAACTGTGCTATTACGACTGCTAACACATGTATTCTCTACTTGCTGTGTGACAAGTTCAAGCAGATTCTAAAGTGGATGCAGTTTTTTCTTCCCTTTACATGTATTAGTACTTCTGTGGCTAAGTTCTGGGTTTCCATGAGCAGACTGATTTGGATCACAGATTGAGACTGAGTAGTCCTTGCCAGGATGCTACATGCGGGAATGCAACCCAGATTCTGCTTGTCACCCACAAAAGAGAAACAGTCACTTGCTGGCTTTGAGAATGCTCTTGAAGATTTGGTATTAGTGGCAAAATATTCCTTAGAAAAGCCTAATAGCTGAAATCTGCATGAGCTTAATTACTCTTTCTTCTGAGAGCAGCGATGCTAGGACTGCTGCTTGTGTCTGTGCTCCCCTGCAGTGTGTACATGTGAATATGAACAAACTTAGGAAAAAGGACCACCTTCTCTTTGCTGATTTAACCAAGGACAGCATGTGTACAGGCACTGCTGGGAGCAGGAGCGGTCGCTGGACCTTCCTCAGCCCTACAGTACCTGAAAGACCATCTGAAGGGACTTCAACATGAGGTTGCATGATGAAGAGGTGATCAGCATCTCGCTGCTTTGGTGATGATCTATGTAGGCAGGAGGTCAGATGGATCACTTCCAGTTGTGCATTCCCTATAGATTCCAGTACCTCCCATAGCTTCCAGTTATCAAATACACTATTGGGCTTAAGATACATTATGTAGGAAAAAGTATCTAAAATTATTTCCATTCAGAAACAATGTTTGCTTAAAAAAAGGGGACTAAATTCTACCATTTTATTCAGAGAACTTCATAGTAGGCTCTGAACAAATTTTAAAGAGCAAACGAGGCAAAAGCGAACCAAAATACTGCATGTTTTAGCTCAAAAGCTAGAAGAGGAAATTTCACTGCGAGCATATGAAGGTTGAACAGGGAAATGCTCCAGAGTAAGACGATGTTGCACAGACTGACAGGCATTCTGTATTTACAATAAGGATAGCAGACTAAACAACTCTATCGATTAGCTAGCGGTATTCATATCATACTACTGTTTAAGAAAAAAACAGAAACTTTGAGACATTACCTTTTGAAATCCTCTATTTCTTTTCTACAATTCTCTGAGTATTAATAAACTCTATTCTTTTTGTTCCTCCTGAATTTTTCCATTCAAGATTATTCAAGTCTCTCTCCATTTCTACACTTAGCTGCAAAAATATTTTGAATCCTGAATCAAGAACCAATTATCAAACTTTGCAACACTTTAAAATACGAAGATTAATACTTTGGAAAGAACAGGTAATTATGCAAGGCTTTTAGTGAGACAGGCACATATACATCACCCACTACTGTTAACAACATGGATCAACTGGGAATAAATCTCTTAAGTCATGAAAGCTATAGTTAAGAATTACCTTGAGTTCCTGCAGCTGGTCAGGTTCATAGAGCTTTGGAGACAATGCTTGGGCAAGGAAAGCATCAAGTTCCTGGCGACGAAGTATACGAACCCCTGGCCACTGTACCATATACCTACAGAAGAAGCCCATAATTATTCAGAAGCTTCCCTTAATAGGTAAATCAAGTCGTATTTTATTTGATCAGACGTCATGAGAATGCAAAACCAAGAAAAATCTTTTTTGTTGTCTAGACTTGAAAAGTTAAAAAGGTGAACACACTAAACAGATTTGAAGTTTTAAATTGTTTTATGGAAGAGCTACTGGCTGTGAGTCAGTTGTGCAATTCACATCAGAAGAGCCCACTTCCAGTGACTAAGGGGAGGACAGGTTGCCAAAACAGAATTTAAAACATAAGTGGATTCTGATACATCTAAAAATAAAATAATATAAAGATTAGTGGTCTTTATAAAAAAGCCTAATGGTGACTTTGTGAACATGGTTTCCAGATAACACATTACTCAGAAATTATCTAGTTGGTGAACTGTATGCTCATCATGTCTTAATGAACAACAATTTTTATATGCCACGTCACTGGAGAGAAACATGCTGTCCAAAAGAATGAGGAGCTCTGCTTTAAGATACCATTTGGACTATTTTCAGTGCACTTACTATTCTATAAGGATAAAAAAGAGGAGATTTAGTCCTCAAAAGTGCAAAGTAATACAACTGAAGACAAATTTACATTTAACACTCTCAAAAAAGGCTTAAGTTTTTTCAAGTGCAACACGCTAACCTTGCATTCTGCCAGATTTATAAGCTAGTTGTTGTTGAAATAATCACCCCTTTCCTCAGAGGTTAAGCATCTCTCAATTCTTCAGTCAATTTTCAATCTGAAATTAAACAGGTAGGTATTTTGGACCTTGTGACTTTCTCTTTGAAAAGCTGAAGCACAGAATTAATACTTCAACTGTTGGTTATGATCATCTCAACTAGATGAGCAATTCTAACCCAGGGAACCTGACCCATCCTAGGCAGGGTATCATTCACGGGAACTTTGCATCCTGCTAAGCTGCTACGCAGCTGTTCCCTGAACATTCTTTTGCTTTACAAATGCTACAGTGGCCTCTCTGCAACATGAGATTTTTTTTTCCTTCTCCCTTCAGTCCTCAGGAGACTGAAGAGAGAAACGCTGAATATACAGCATGCATTTAAGACTCACAGCAGCGATGCTGTAAAACCAAGACAAACCCCTTCTCCTACTGACACTGCAAATATGAATTAACACTTTGTATACTCATGGTTTAATCCAAATTAAGTATGTCAGTGAGATTATGCAGTAAAACCTTTCCTTTGTTCTGTTTTACCTTAGGGTAATACTGACCTTAGTACACAACAAAGCACCATAAGATGAGTGGGCACATTAGTTGGGTTGAGCATTGCTGGTGTATCTGATCTCATACAGGCCAAAAATGCCCTCATTCTTCGGTTCTTGTCTTCTACTGCTTTTCCCAGCCACAGCTTCTTCAGATTAGGACAGGTCCATTCCCTGAACGCAAGTGCTTCCACCAGCTCAGGGGTCTGAGGAGATTTGCCTTTGTAAGCAGCCCATTCTTTAATTATCACTGGTGAAACTACAAGAAGGCAACAGTTGAAAGAAAACATTCCTAGTTAAAAAGCAGCTTATATTTAAAAGTTTGTCTGCAAGAGATTTTGATCCAAAAAGCATCACTTTGAGATTGTGATAGATGGCAATGTTCTGGATTACACTGTCAAATTGGTAAATCAAACTCCGTAGGGATCACCTTTCAATTGCGATCGCTTACAAACCGCATGCAGGCAGGTGTACACGAGGAGTGCCACAGTAGTATTTTCGAATATACAACATAGGGGAACTTCGTGTATTCTTCTAAAACAATCAGCATTATTTGAAAATGCAATTTTCCCTTCTTAAAATACCTGTGTCATTGATCAAAAACCTACCGTGATAAATAAAACCAGTACATAAATACAAATGTATTTCATCTCTGGTCTTTTAAGAACAGTATGATCCCAGTGATTTTATCCACATCAGATTTAAAACTTATGTTATACTTGTTTGCAGTTGTTCAACTACTACAATGGAACGAGATCTCAAATATGAGCAGTTTGGGGGTTTTTTGCCTAAAAAGTTTACGAAACATTACCTTACATAAGCCTTTCAATTTACTGCACTGCTTTCTATTAAGAGGTTAGTATTTTTTGTCTGCTAAGCTTCCTTTCATCCGTGTCAAAGAAAGGACTATCTAACTCTATATTGCTGCTAAAACATCTCCCTTTTTTACATCTGAAGGCAACCAAACCAGAACACAAGTTTTAAAAAAATAAACGAAAGAAAAGAAGTTAAGACTAGGAAATGATACCTTTGGCCTTGGAATGACCCCAAGTTTGACACTGCTCAAAATTTGTTTGCCTCCTCCTTAACTCAGAGCCCAGTTATGTGGTGTGGAAAGACCAATGGAGCTTGTTAGCACAGCTTCAGGTTACAGCCCTGTGAGCCTCCCGCAGCCGCAGAGCAGCTCTTTCTACGGGAAATCTTTCTGTTATGGACCCAGAAGAGAGTCCTACGAGTGCCAGGCCAGCCCTTACAGCTCCAAAGTCTCCTTCAGCAATCAGCCACCAGCCTTACAAGTAATGTTATAGGTAAGGGTAGGCAAACCATGGCAGAGATTATGATTTGGATTTTAAAAAAGCAGCTCAAGAACGTCCCGAAGTGCTCTCACACTTCTCTGCAATAAAACTGCTCTAGCATTATGACTACATTACACAGAGCTCAGGCTAAGTTTTACAAAGATAACATGCAGCAATGAAAAGAAATACTCTGATATATTTAGTTGGTAGCCTCACTACAAAACCATGTTCTACTTTGGTTGCTACCAGTTTTTATATGTCCCCACACCACACAAGATGGGCTTTAACAGCCAGCTAAGCTGCTGTGTTATTCACATGCAGTTTATCACACACTGGTGTTCACTTCTCGTTCAGGCCTGGGACAGTAAATGTGAACAAATAAAAGGATGGATTTTATGTAGACTTTCCAAGACTTGTTTAATTGCTTTAGGTCTCAGAAGCAAGAGATACTTTTGGACCAAAGCTTCCTAGCTCTCAGCAAACAGATAGGAAATACAATGAGGCTGCTATGCAGAACATTTATCTGTCAGCAGTAAAAAGACCCTAAACTGTTGACAAGTGACATAAAATAGTTGCTTGTGTTTTGGAGGTCTTTTGTTTTCTTTTTCTTTCTTTTTCTTTTTTTTTTTTCCTTCAACCTCCTATTGAGAACACAGGCGGTATTTCCAGCTGCACTCAGTTTCCTGGTTCTGGATGCCCCCACTAGAGGCAAGCAGACTCAATTCACACATCACAGGTGAGCACCTCACATGATGACCTCCACAGCTCCTACCACTCCGGAGCCAGCAGTCAACAGCAAGGACACAGCTGCACACATCACAAACTACTGATTCTTTCACATGTATTTCACACGTAAAGACCTCAAGCTTAAAAGGAGGGAATACTTTACGTTTTCTATTTGCAATCCTATGTTTCAACATTCAAATTTGGTTCAAAAGCTTTTAATCTGGGGATAACAACTTCCATGACTTCATGGGATTAAGGGAAGAGCACCTCAGTGCCCTCAAAACACACCATCTCCAGGAACATGCTACCTGCAGAGGTCACCCTGGAGAGCCACCCTGTCTGCCTTCAAAGTTTTGCAGAGTAACGGTTATGATGGGTAAGGCAGCTATACTTCTTGCAGAATGGTTTAATATGAAATGCATTAAAACAGTACCCTCTGAGTGCTGGGGATGAGAAATTACAGCTGGGTCAGCTGAAAAGTAGCACTGTTCACTCAAATTTAGCATTTAACATGAATTGAGGACTTGTCCCTATCCTCTTATATCTCCAGGGCATTTCTTACACCTTTGTCGTCTCTGTACTGGGACTGCCTCCAAAACCCCCGCCTTCCTCAACTGCTGAGGATCTCCGTCCTCAGAGGAACATTTTGTGCTTTCCACCCAGGACTTCCACTTGGAGATAAGCAACGTCTACCCTGAAGATTGTGTTAGCTACAACGAACACTCAGGACCAGCGTGTGTTCAGCAACAGGGCTAATTCTACTGGTTTTCATACTAAACCTCCTCCAGCTGCCGCTCAGCAGATCTGAATACTTGAAGCAGCCTAAGCAACTGCAGCATATTGACATCTGCTTTAAACGTTACCCTCCTGACACTTTAAGGTCAATCCAAGCAAAAAGGGTCAGCATCAATCTGCATTAGGGGAACCTGCTTGATAAAACACATGAATGCTGTTACAAGCCCTAGTCTTTAGCAACAGCATCCTGCATGCACCAGCTGTCTGTTAGAGCCCTTGTTGCTAACTACAGCTCAGGTGCTTTTGGTATTCTCTCTGCATTTTTTTCATGAACCAAACATGAGACCTGAGGTACCTAATACCACGACAAGATGAGCTAGCTAATGCAGATTAATCAAGCCTCATTTTTAACCTCATAATCTTTACTGACAGCACAGCTCTAGCTAAGCATGCTTGATTTTGTAGGGGGCTACTGACCAAGACACAGCTGTCCTTTTGGCAGAAGCAGCACGGGCTGAATACATCCTTGATGGAGAACGGTATATCACAAGGTCGCTAGGCTTAAAATAACAAACCTTTGGATCCAACCAGGAGTTAGGACAGCTTGTTCAAGTGTGCATTTTTCCACAGAGTGGAAAGGGCCGATGGTTTTATCTACACACAGGCATTTATCAGAACATGGGAAATCACCCCTTTCAGAGCTTGAAAAGAAAAGCAAGTCAGACCCTTGGCTTCCATCTCCTCAGAAGGAAGGGCAGCACAGCCAATGCTGTGCCCTTGGCAGTAAAAGCATTATCAAAAACTTTGTGATTCAGCTTTCCATATCCTCCAGGAGCAGAGATGAGGACGCGTACAGCAAAGGCGTTACTTAGCAGACAATTATCACTAAAGACCCTCACTGACCACCTCTTCCAACAGATCTCGGTTTTTATTGGCTTTTCAAGTACATCAAAATAATAATGATTTAAAAGACAGGAAGCAATCCATTTTGTGAAAGATCCATGATCTTGCTGTCTATATATTTAGTAATAATACTGATGCGTCAGTTTATTACGTATTTTTCATAGTCTCCTATCATCCTCGCATGCAATACACTTGCCATTTACTCATGCACAATTATGTTGCCAGTGTTATGAGCTGTACAAAGATGACAGGAACTTAGATATTAATATACTAATTACCTCTGTATATAAATCTTGAGAATATACATTTATTTATTTAGAAATTAATTTCTTAGTTCTATTAATGCCACTTAATTCTTAAACTTTCTTATCTTAATGACTGTATTTCATAGCTTACACATTTTTGAGAGCAGCAAAAAAATTAAGGCACTGAAGGAGAATCAGCATCACTAGTTCATTATAGTCTGGGTCTTCAGAAAAGTTAGCAAGGACTAAGGAGTGTAACCAATTGATCTGAGAAAGCTGCTCTTGCCCCTGTGAGACACTATTCTCTCTTGTGTCTTACAAAGCAGCAAGAATTGAGCAGGCTGCGCAAGAGAGGTGACCAAAATAAATGTGTTCCCCGCAACACAGCCCTTTCAAAGCACCTGCTTGCATCTTAGCTCAAATCCATCTTCACTGACATTGTTAGCCTTGTAGTGAAGCAACTACCTTTTGGGCAGATGTTCAATTTTATTCTTATTTTTGTCTCAGAGCATGGTCAGTCCTAAGATAGAAGTAGGTCAGTAGCTGAACGCGTTCTGCAGCAAGATTTGCTGGAGCTCTTGTAACTAAACCAAGTCAGTAGTAACGTTCTTACCCTCCACTGAAAAATAAATCACTGAAAAGCAGTATAAATTAAGAGAATAGAGATTATACAGGACTCTACAGAGAACTTTCCAGGTTTACACGATAAAAACATTCCGAAAACTGAAGCAGACCATCAGCACGCAGCTATTTCATCACTACAAACGCTGTAGTACACTTTTTAGGGCAGAAGTCTAATGAGGATAAATGAATGCTGCAAATAATGTCACTATTTTAATCCTGAAATAACCTCGTAACCTGAAATACTACTGTGTCGCACGAGCATAAAGAATAAAGAAGTTGGTGACTACACGTGTGCAGAGATATTATTCATGCAGGGTAAATACTGCTTCCCATAAAATAACTGACTGAGTTTTTCAAACATCACTGGAAGATTATAATCTCTGCTATGAACATACAAAAACATTTTGCAATTAAAAATGGGAAGAGAAAAGGGAATGAACTGAGTTTACAACTGATTCTTATTTTTATCCTTCTACACATGAAGACTGTGAATGATGCTTTCATACATTCTAAATATCTGATTCTTAAATTTAGCCTAGTGACAGCAGACTCCTACATATAAATACTTCTGCTCCTGCTGCCATCCACTTAATGCTTTGGCATTCCTTTAACCTTTATAAGGTGCTACTGTAAAGTTCAATCATCTTCTTGTATGCATTTCATTATAAGAGAAACACTCAAGAATGAGGAGGTTGAATTTTCTGGAATGACAGTAATTCCTGGAAGCAGAACACTAAAAAGACAACTTCCAGATTAACATGAAGATTAACTCTCATTCTTCTGAATTAGCAAAAGGACCTTCTGACAAGTCCGCTTGCAAAAGTTTAGTCTGTCTTACCCAGATCTACCTTTCCTTACATTAACACCTGACTTCTGTGGATTTTACACCAAGTTTTTATTTATATGCCAATACCTAGAAGGTGCTAGAGATCTGCAAATTTCACTGAACTAAATGTAATTACACATTTGGGAAGACAGGGAAAGTTAACATATACACCTCTCATTTTTAAAAAAAAGTATCCAAATCTGTATGCACATGCACAGAATAAAAGTTTCCTACAATCAAGTTCTGCCATAAACTTTGAAAATCACATCACAAACTGACGTTATTTGCTGCAAGCCTGACAGCAGCTTGAGTTTATGTTTTAAAAAACAAACCCCAGAGCTTGCTTAGAAATGGTAACATTTCCAGTTCTTAAACTACTGCAGGAAATATAACTTCAAATTAACATCATCCTTTGCCATCATCCGTGGAACAAATAAGTCAAAAATTCCTCCAGCGTTAGCTACATTGATGAAATCTTAGTAACTATTCTCATTCAAATCACGGTGCAAATGGATATGAAAACAGCAAAGGGAAGAGAAATAAAGAATGGATTCCGCAGTACATACATTCTGGTGGAAGTCTGTTCTTCCTAAAAGCAAGTCTTTCAGTTTTCTTTCTGCTTTCTGCCAAACTAAACAGGACTCCGTAAACATACTGACGAACTGGCCTATAAAGGAGAGCAGCAGGAGGCAGGTCTTTGTTGGCTTCATCTTCTATAGAAACGGCAATTTTGATTTCACCCTTTTGCATGAAAGAAAGCAAAAAAATATGCCATGTTATAGTGAACAGAAGGTATTTAGATACGCATGGTAACTCAATCCAGCTCTAATATAAATCTCATCTAGTCAAGAAAAATGTAATTCAGCAGTAACATGGATTTTATGTACGTGAAGGTAACACCAGCGGAGGACTACCCTACAGCCTACTTGCTTTTCTCCAACAGCAGGTCTCCAGGCTCTGATTATCCCTGTTGCTTTTCTCTTTCTCTTCTCCATCACACACCCTTTTTTTTTGTCTGGACTATCTGCAGGTGAGAATTACCGAAATATTGATCTTCAAATACGGATATTCTGAAGAGTGAAATAGCACATCAGAAAATACAGTAATGTGCTTATAGACAGTGAAAGCACATTTGAAGCTGATCTAGATTCAGGCAGTTAGTTTTAAAAATACTCATGCTGTCTAAAACTAACTTGACTTTTTGGTGCAAGGATTTGAAACACCATTGGGATCTCACTGTCAAAAACATTATGAGAAGACCTGGCCAAAAATTTTTAACTAGGAATTACATAAGACAGGTTGGTTTTGAAAGCACATAAAGCTTTAGCATTTTATACCTTTTCAGAAAAAAGTATGAAAGAACCTTCCAACATTCTCTCTCAAAATGGCAGTGTAAAATGTTCACTTAAAAAAAAACATTTAAACCGTCCCAGTATGAATACTGTAGGTGACATCTTGGAGTGATTACATTAGGATAGTGTCAACTCACATAGTGCTACTTTAGGTATAAGGTATGTCTGAAAGATCTCTATAGGTAACAGCAACACCATCTGGAACATCTCCATGTGCAAATTTCTAAAGAATCCCACAATTATACAACAAGGTATCTGTCAGCACACCTACAGTATACTTTAGGTCCCCAGTATGTACTTGTTCAAATGCATTTCAGAGAATGAGGAACGAAAAACACTCTTAAGCAGTACTGATTTACTTGTGATGCAGCCATCTCCAGTTTGACTTTCTTTTCTCTTTCTGGGAGTGAATTTCACAAATGCAAGCATTTAATTCATTTCTTCTCATTGTGAGATAGGAGGAGTATCCATCTACCTGAGGGTAGACAGGCTCTGCAGAGGGACCTGGCCAGGCTGGATCGATGGGCCAAGTCCAATTGCATGAGGTTCAACAAGGCCAAGTGCCGGGTCCTGCACTTGGGTCACAACCACCCCATGCAATGCTACAGGCTTGGGGATGAGTGGCTGGAGAGCTGCTTGGTGGAAAAGAATCTTGGGGTGTTGGTCAACATCCACCTGAACATGAGCCAGCAATGTGCACACCAGGTGGCTGAGAAGCCCAACAGCATCCCGGCCTGTAACAGCAATGATGTGGCCAGGACAAAAGCAGGGATCCTTCCCCTGTACTGGGCACTGGTGAGGCTGCACCTCGACTCCAGTGTTCAGTTTTGGGCCCTTCATTACAAGAAGGGCATTGAGTGCTGGAGCATGGCCCGAGAAGGGCAACAGAGCTGGGAAGGGGTCTGCAGCACAAGAATGATGGGGAGCGGCTGAGGGAGCTGGGAGGGGTTCAGCCTGGAGAAGAGGAGGTGAGGGGAGACCTCATCACCCTCTATGGTTCCCTGAAAGGAGGGAGTAGCAAGGACGGGTTGTTCTCTTCTCTCAAGTAACATCCAATAGTACAGAGGAAATGGCCTCAAGTTGTGCCAGGGGAGGGTTAGATTGGATATGAGGAAAAATTTCTTCCCTGAAAGCATTGTCAAGCACTGAAAGGGGCTGCCCAGGAAAATGGTGGAGTCACCATCTGCACGTATTTAAAAGACAGGTAGACATAGCACTAGGGACATGGTTTAGTGGTGGACATTGCAGTGTTAGGTTAACAGTTGGACTTGATGACCTTAAAGGTCTTTGCCAACCTAAACGATACTATAATTCTATGAATAAATAACAAGTAGTATTTACATGTACTAAGAATATTTGGCTATGCAAAGTCTGAAACAGAACTGGCATCAACGGCCTTCATATGCCTTTTGATTCTTCCCCACTTTCCTTTGATAAAAAAGCAGAAGATGACAACAATACAAGCTATGGTGCAAAACAAACACATCGAAAATAGGAAACCCAAACCTCAACCATGATTCAAAAACTTTTCTTTTCATGGATATCAGATCCTCACCTACAGTCCTTAATGTCCTGAAGTGGAATTTTAAGAGGAATGCAAGTTATCAGGATGTGGACATTGCCATTTTGCTAGATGCTGTACAAATATGTACACCGAATGGGCTTGATGTACGAGAACCAGTACTAAGCATTTTGAACACTGAAGAGGAAGATTAAAGTTGTCTTGTTCAGGGACTCATGTATTTGCACTCAGAAGGAGCAATGAACTTTGGAGACTAGATTAAGTTGAATACAGAGCTGTGCAGGAACGCCACTGCTCTGGCTCCCTCCCGGTTCAACAGAAAGCAGACTTCAGCAAGTGTTCACACGCACCAAAGCAGGTTATCACTGCCTATTTCTGTTAGAAGCTCTGCAATTGCTTTTCAACGTGTCCTTATGTGGCCTTATTCAGGTAGGTTTGTTTTTTTACTGGACACACTGAGCAGAGAGTCCTCAGCTGCGTGAAAATGCTTGCAGCTTACCTGAAATCTGAAGGCTAGCCCATAAAAACCAAAAAGCCAAACAAAAAAAAAGTTATCAGAAATGTTCTGCCAAACTAAAAGGAACAGATATTCAGAACATCGAGTTTGTAATTACATTTTAGGATTATACAAAAGAGGTTTCTTAGAGCTGCTCTGTTTCTATCAGGGCTAGCTACCAGGGATGGGAGGGATCAGACTGTGAGGGAAAACAATCCAAGTATTTCTGAACACTGAAAACAGAGAAGAATTGGCACAGACACCAAAGCACACAGGCAGGATTTTTTAGATTGAAATGGACTCTATATAAAAAACGCGCGCACACACACACACATATGCAGAGATAGAAAAATATCTGCATATATTCAGGAAAAAGGATTCATTTTTTAAGTATACACCTCTAATTACAGTCACCTCATATTTGTTGGAATAATGTACTAAACCAGACCAGTGGTTAGAAAACAGGGGCAAAAAAATAGATCAAAACTCAAAACATTAAGAAGGCTGTAAATTTATGATACTCTTTATGTAAGAGTAAATTTAAGAGCAATTACCAGAAACGTAAGAGCAATTACCTTTACAGAATTATAATTTCACAGTAAATAATTTTTAAGTGCCATACCTTGGTTAGGACATGAAAGATGTAGGGATACATTAACCCCTTCTTGTGCCTGTGTTCTGCCACTCTTAATACTTCAGGTGCTACAGGAGGTAATGGAGGGGTAGTAATATCCATGTGGTTTCTGGTGGGCATTGACAACAGGCATGGGATTTGTGGATTACTGGTTTGATTTCCTTTGCCATCAGCTGCCTGACTTCCTGAAGAAGCACTGGAGGAACCTTCTGCCTGTAACAGAACATACCAAACAAAGTGCTTTTGAATGTGTACAGAAACATACCAGGAGATCAGCCAAGAGAAACAGCACATTTCCTTCTTCACCCACAACGAAGTGGGTAAGCCTTCACATCATGGCCTATCAGTATGTCAAATCAATTATCCAAAGGTGGCTAAAGGATTTTCAGAAACTGTAAACTTTCAGTAAACACTGCTAGCTAGCAGAAAAAATATATTATGGTAAAGCTTTAATTTATTAACGGCAATTCCTGTTTTCTTTAATTCTTAATTGCACAATACGAAGAGGGACTGATGACCTCTTAATGAAATGTGAATGAGGTCTTAACTAAGTATTTCCAAGATACCATCAATTAAATGGGTTAACTGACAGTCACAAAGTCTAGAATTTATCTAGAATTGCATTAACACATCTCTTCTCAGTTTGCATTTCTAAATGAAGCAGGAAGAACTACACAGCTCTATTTAAAGACATTTACAATACAGAGTATCTGGACTCAAAAGCCTTCCAATTGATTTTTTTTAAACAACCAACATAAAATTATTTTCTCCAGGAAGAGTATTTTCACAATTTACCAAGAAAATTTCATATGCTCCACAAGATTTCAAAAGCAAAGCTGAAAAAGAAATGGCTAAAGTCATGAAATCCCACAGAACAAGTAACATAAAAAATTAGGCCCAAACAAGCTCAGCCTTTTCACTTCAGGCCCTTATGAAAAATACAAACATGCATGTAAAAACCACATTCTGGCATCCTGGCTTGTAGCAGAAACTGTGGCCAGCAGTAGTGAAGTGATTGTGCCCTCATACTCAGCATTGGTGAGGCTGCACCTCGACTCCTGTCTTCAGTTCTGGGCCCCTCACTTCAAGAGGGCCACTGAGGCGCTGGAGCGTGTCCAGAGAAGGGCAACGGAGCTGGGGAGGGGTCTGGAGAACAAGAATGATGGGGAGCAGCTGAGGGAGGGTTTAGTTTAGAGATGAGTGGACTGAAAGGAGGTTGTAGTGAGGTGGGTGTTGGTGTCTTCTTCCATGTAACCAGTGACAGCACAAGAGGAAATGGCCTCAAGTTGCTCTGATTGGTTTAGATTGAATATGAGGAAAAATTTATTTACTGACAGAGTGGTCAAGCACTGGCAGGGGCTGCCCAAGGCAGTGGTGGAGTCACCATCCCTGGAGGTGTTCAAGAGGAGCGTGGATGTGGCACTTCAGGACACGGTTTAGTGGACGTGGTGGTGTTAGGTTGATGGTTAGACCTGATCTTAGCGGTCTCTTCCAACCTTAATGATTCTGTGATTCTATGAAGAAAAACACCCAAGCCCCACACAACCTCCAGAAACCTTCCACAGGAAGGTATATATTAGTAAAAACACATGCTAGGAAAATATCAGAGGGGCAACATTATTTTCAGATTATATTTTAAGCACACAATCAAAGAGGACATTACTTAAAGATTATATTTTAGTTGGTAAGCCAAACTTCATCTTATTCATAAAAATGAAAATATACAGAAAAAATGCTTAAAACCTGCAAACCAGAACACTTTAACACAATACACTAATACAAAGTGTTTTTATAAACACATGAGCTATCACAGCTCTATTAATTCGTGTTATATTACCAAGTATATTTCTTTATTGGCTTAAAAGCTTTTTGTCCCTGTCTTCTGTTACCCCAACAACTAAAAGTCAGTGATGCTGGACCACAAAGAGAAGTTTATAGAAGTCCCCGTTACTAGGGGGATGAGGAAAAGAGGACAAAAAGCCCTAAATTTCCTGTTTGCACTACTCAGGTTCTCCCTGGATCTGCTCCAGTGGTATTCAAAACCTAAGCTGAAAAACTGCCACAGTGAAAAGTGGTTTTTTTTCCCTTTGGTAACATACCTCCTCCCAAATGAGATGAGCATACCTTTGTCATGTATTATCACGCAGTGAGACAACTACAACCAAGGAATTTTGACATTTAAGTCAAGTGGAAGGACTGTCAAGATTGCTGCTACCTGTCTGATCTATGCTAGACTTTCAGCTCTTTAAATTACCTCAGAAATTCACACGGCTTATTCAGTTGAAATCGTCATTGAATATTTCTTTTTTTTTGTTCATTAATATATTCCTCTCTAGGAAATGAGTTCATCTACAGAATGTACTCATAATCCTCCCTGTCACACTGAACAGATGCAACTGTCTTCTGCTACTGAAGGCTGAAGAAGTGATTTAATATTAACAAAACAACCAGGTAAGAAACTCACAAGCATTTATACATTAAATTGGATGCATTTAAGTCAGACTGCATGCATATATCCAGTGGAAAGTTTAATCACTGTTTATACAGCTCTAACTCTGCGTGTTTGAAGAGGCAGCCAGACGTGCCGTGCAGCATGTCCCACCCATCCTCTGCCCTGCTCCAGGGGAGGCACCACCGCTCACCCCCACTCTGCAGGACACGGGGCTGTGCAGCTCACACAGGGCCGCAGCTGGGACGTGTCAGGCTTCATACGTGGCCCATAATACAGAGAAGAAAGGAATGCAATAGGTCAAATTAGCATTTACATATGGTGACTAATCTGCAGGCAGATACAGTTATCGTACGGGGCGTAGTCTGCAAAAATAATAACCACTGATGGGTGAAATCATCAGCTTGATATTTTAAGCGCAAAGCCCAAGTTTACTGGAATTTCTATGACAAAGGTACAGAGAAAGTGTTCTGTTTGTCTGCAGCATAAAGTAACTTGTAATTGGTTTTTTGATACAAAATTAACAGTTGGTATACAGTTCCATCACAAGGATGCAGAGATGTTACGTGCAAATGCTTTGAATGTTCTTACTAAGCACAGTTCAAACGTGGAATAGAGACCATCATACTCTTAATTTTACAATGGTTTTAAATGTTGGAGAAACTTAACAAGATAATGTTAAATATTTACCAAGGGCTTAGTTATCCCATCCTTACTCAGTTAAGTAGCAATACATTCTAACTGGTCTCATGGAGCTACTTTAACACGTACCACATGAAATTCATACCAGGCAGTCATCAAGGACAGACCATTACAGTCGAGCTTTAATACACCTGTAATGGTCTGTGGCCAACACTGCAAAGTGTGTTAGAGCTGTTCTTGCTACACCGTAGGTTATATATGTATACACACACAACATGGACCCTGAATCCATGGAGGGTCAGACTGCTCTACTCCTTAGTAAAAGTCAAAATAAGGCACTACTGTAAACACACGTAGCAATATCCAAGGATGAGATTGTTAGCTAAGGAGTAAACAAGTTTGTTGGTTTATTTTATAATGAGTATTTTCTAACACATCCTAAATAGGATTTTCATTTTTATGTATATGCCACAATGTTCCATGGAAAATTTCTTACTGTACTTCAAAGCTATTGCTTTGTAGTTCAGAAAAATATGTAAAAGTTCACACTAAATCCTACAGATCAATACCGAAAACTTTACTTAAGAGTTTGCTGTAAAGCTTTAATACAAAATAATAAATGGTGATGTTTCGAACTTAAGGAATTACCTTTGTTTGGTCTCCCAGCTCTCCACGTGCTTGACTTTCTGACTGGGTTCCTGTTTTTTCCCAGCCTATTTTGTTCCCACTGACATGGCTGAAGCACAACACAAAAGAAAAACACAGTATTAATGTGCTGTTTAAGATACAGTGGGATAAATCCTTGGAGACTGTTACTGGAACTATGGGCCAGAAACTCTGATTTTAAGGGATGCTATGTATGAGAAACATCAATTTGTAGGAGCCTTGAAGAGACTTTATACTGACATTTATTAATTCTGATTGCATTTAAAAGCTGTATAATAAAATGACTAAATATTGTTCATGCAGGAAAAATTCCTGATTGAACTTTCAATATTTGTCACTATGCCAAGTAATTTCCCTCAATTAGAAGACTAAAGTGACACTGTCTAGATTTCAGTTTTTATGTTTATTCAAAATTTATTGCACAAAATGCGTAAACCAACACTATCAAAGATGCTGAAAAACAGAGTTTTTTACTACAGCAGGTACATTTCCAGTTCTACACGGCATGGAAGCCATGCAAACCTACTTGACTTACTAAGGAAAAGCCACGATTGTATTTGAAGTTGACAGACTGCGTAAAAAAAAAATGAAGCCCAAGCCATCATACATACTTGTACCATTATACACAACCCCAAAATTTTAGAGGCAATCACAGACCTGCTAAAGCACCAGGTTTTGGTTCTCACACATTAAGCCACTGCACCTAACAAGACAAAGGTAAGCACAGGCTGCCTCTGTTCAAATTCCCCTTTGGTAGGCCAGCAAGCAGTAATTAAGTGAAAGTCTGCTCAACTTTATTGCCAAGGACAGACACGTGATCTAGTGGAAGTCTGAAATACTTCTGCAGTAAACAAGGCACGGCAGTAGAAGAGAACAAGAACAACTTCGTCGCCACTTTGTTCCTGTCCATGAGGGCTCTGAAGTCACTGTCCTAAATGGTGAATTTCTGACTTTCACACCAGGCTTCTTCGCAAAGCCACTTTAACCCAAAATTTAAGAAGTGTAAACACTACAAATTCGGTGAAGTTTCATCGTTTTTAGCTACTGAAATTTTAATGAATTATAGTGTGAAGTAGGAATAATTCTTTTACACAAAGTAAAGAACTCAAAAGCCTTTTTGACATTTACCAAAATCTCTCTCTCCTCCTTTCAATAAAACATAAGGGCAGAAGTGGAAAAACACCCAACATTATTTGGTTTTGGATTGCCACTTGTTAAGGAACAAGGCGAGCAAACTGTGGATGTGTTTGCAGTCACGGTGACCTAGAACTATTTTCCGAAGGTCTACTGTATCACTAATATGCAGACTTCCTACTTTCAGGATACTGGCGGATGATTTTGAAAATAAATTTATTTTAACAGAAGTCAAGTAAGAAAATATCCTCATGAAAAACTTACTTCACTGCACCTCCATTGCCTTCATCATTGTCGGAGGACGAAGATGTAGAAGAGGCAGGAAAATAGGTTGAATCCACATGATTAGGGCTCCCACTCTGAGCTGGATTTATTGGAGAAGATCGTTCATACAATGGTGTATGTTTTCCTTCGTGAGGAATGTTACTGTAGTTGTTCTGCTCAGAAAGACTTTTTCCACCTGTTTCCAAGGTGATGGCTGGCTCAGAGAGATTATATGGGTATGGACCCTGACCTTGGGCCCCACCCTGATTGGACATCTGCTGGGCCTAAAATAAAGTGATCTTTCTTAAGTGAAGGTAACAAGGTTTTTCTTTTAAACCAAAATACATTATTAAACCAAGTGGCATTTTTCAAATGTATACATTCGATCTCAGCCATCTTGGACATCCACAAAAATTGTTCTACCAGAGTGTAGCACAACTATAGTTCCAGACTTAAAATTCAATCAGTGAACACCCATGCTAAAAAAATTCAATATACTTTTCCCACCTAGATTCTCACTTGCTGAGCACGGCAGGTTTCTCCCAAGAAGGGCAGAGGGCTATACTTACCACAGGTTTTGCTTGTAGTGAGGTCTGTGGAATGTTAAGCATCTGAGAAGGAACATATGGTGGCACTATCCCAGGCATACCAAACTGATTTGGTCTGGCTGCTGTATTTCCAACAGGAAGAGGGGGAAAAAAGAAGGGAAAAACAAACAAGAAAAAAACCCAAACGCCCATGAAAACACTGATTACTGACACACATATTACCCTTTTCATCATTTTGTTTCTATGGTTTATGTATTCTCATTTTCTCATTCTGTTAGCATTACTGTTTTCTAGTATGCCATTAAGTCAAAATTATTCATTTTTGACCTTTTATAAAAATACTTTGTATCTTGTGAAGACTATTTGACTTGCCTCACCTTCTCTCAGTTCTTTCTATCTCTCATTACTGCACATTTCTATTCTACAAACCCAAGAGATGTGATAATGAATAAGCTGGAAAACCAATATTGAATAATAATGAAATAATAATAATGAAA